AGTCTTTAGGTAAATTGGTAGCTACCACATGGAAACCTTTGTCATCAGCTATATAATCAACAGTTTGTAATATGTTATTAGCATCAATGTAGGAATAGGAACCAGTGGTGACACCATCTAATGTGCGTACTTCTTGTTTGGTAGACAAGGGTTCACTATAACCATAAGAATATTGACCCAAAGTATCTTGGGTAAAATATTGTTGAATCGGTTGTTGTTGCTGTTGTTCTGAAGACTGAAATCCTGGGTGCTGTTCCGTTTTAACCACTAGCAAGGGAGTTTGCAATTGTTGTAGGGGAACTGGATACAAATACGATTGAGCCATAGAGCAGGCTATTAAACAGCTGATGATAATTGAAAATCTCATTTTGAATTTCGTGTTTTTGAAATAGTTTCTTTTGTAAATTAGCGCTGCTAGTTCTTTTAACAATTTTTATGTTTAGACTAGTACTCGCTGTTGAGAACTGTTGTAGACGTTTGTGTTTTGATTACACAATTGTTCTTCTTTTTATAGGAAAAATCATTTAAAAGCAGGACTTGCAGAACTTAAGTTAAGATTTGTTTTTTTTTAATTTTATTTTTCTCTGATTGAACTTTAATGTGACACAAGAATAACGTTGAAAACAACAACAGAAATTGTTACCAAAATTTTATAGGGAATGGTCGTCATATGAGTAGCGACACCATGCGATATCATTGCATGCTTATGTGTACTCTATAAAGTTCAAAACATATTTCAAGGAAGGTCATCCAGTTTACTTTTACTCCAAATTACTTATACGATTCTGCAGTGGTCGAATGTCTATTCGTATAAGTTTATAAATGCTCATGATGATATTTCCTTATTGGAGGAAATATTATGTTTTCATGTGTGGGTGATTCCATATTAAAATGAGTCTCAACTTTTTTGAAGGGAGGAATTTTAAACTAGACTATAGACTAGACTATAGACTAGACTATATACTAGACTATAGACTAGATTATAGACTAGACTATAGACTAGACTATAGACTAGACTATAGACTAGACTATAGACTAGACTATAGACTAGACTATAGACTAGACTATAGACTAGACTATAGACTAGACTATAGACTAGACTATAGACTAGACTATAGACTAGACTATAGACTAGACTATAGACTAGACTATAGACTAGACTATAGACTAGACTATAGACTAGACTATAGACTAGACTATAGACTAGACTATAACTAGACTATAGACTAGACTATAGACTAGACTATAGACTAGACTATAGACTAGACTATAGACTAGACTATAGACTAGACTATAGACTAGACTATAGACTAGACTATAGACTAACTATAGACTAACTATAGACTAGACTATAGACTAGACTATAGACTAGACTAGACTAGACTATAGACTAGACTATAGACTAGACTATACTAGACTATAGACTAGACTATAGACTAGACTATAGACTAGACTATAGACTAGACTATAGACTAGACTATAGACTAGACTATAGACTAGACTATAGACTAGACTAGACTAGACTATAGACTAGACTATATACTAGACTATAGACTAGACTATAGACTAGACTATAGACTAGACTATAGACTAGACTATAGACTAGACTCTAGACTATATAGACTAGACTATAGACTAGACTATAGACTAGACTATAGACTAGACTATAGACTAGACTATAGACTAGACTATAGACTAGACTATAGACTAGACTATAGACTAGACTATAGACTAGACTATAGACTAGACTATAGACTATAGACTAGACTATAGACTAGACTATAGACTAGACTATAGACTAGACTATAGACTAGACTATAGACTAGACTATAGACTAGACTATAGACTAGACTATAGACTAGACTATAGACTAGACTATAGACTAGACTATAGACTAGACTATAGACTAGACTATAGACTAGACTATAGACTAGACTATAGACTAGACTATAGACTAGACTATAGACTAGACTATAGACTAGACTATAGACTAGACTATAGACTAGACTATAGACTAGACTATAGACTAGACTATAGACTAGACTAGACTATAGACTAGACTATAGACTAGACTATAGACTAGACTATAGACTAGACTATAGACTAGACTATAGACTAGACTATAGACTAGACTATAGACTAGACTATAGACTAGACTATAGACTAGACTATAGACTAGACTATAGACTAGACTATAGACTAGACTATAGACTATAGACTAGACTATAGACTAGACTATAGACTAGACTATAGACTAGACTATAGACTAGACTATAGACTAGACTATAGACTAGACTATAGACTAGACTATAGACTAGACTATAGACTAGACTATAGACTAGACTATAGACTAGACTATAGACTAGACCTATAGACTAGACTATAGACTAGACTATAGACTAGGACTATAGACTAGACTATAGACTAGACTATAGACTAGACTATAGACTAGACTAGACTAGACTATAGACTAGACTATAGACTAGACTATAGACTAGACTATAGACTAGACTATAGACTAGACTATAGACTAGACTATAGACTAGACTATAGACTAGACTATAGACTAGACTAGACTAGACTATAGACTAGACTATAGACTAGACTATAGACTAGACTATAGACTAGACTATAGACTAGACTATATACTAGACTATAGACTAGGACTATAGACTAGACTATAGACTAGACTATAGGACTAGACTATAGGACTAGACTATAGACTAGACTATAGACTAGACTATAGACTAGACTATAGACTAGACTATAGACTAGACTATAGACTAGATATAGCTAGATTATAGACGAGATTATAGACTAGACTATAGACTAGACTATATACTAGACTATAGACTAAACTATAGACTAGACTATAGACTAGACTACAGACTAGACTAGACTAGACTATAGACTAGACTATAGACTAGACTAGACTATAGACTAGACTAGACTATAGACTAGACTAGACTATAGACTAGACTATAGACTAGACTATAGACTAGACTATAGACTAGACTATAGACTGACTATAGACTAGACTATAGACTAGACTATAGACTAACTATAGACTAGACTATAGACTAGACTATAGACTAGACTATAGACTAGACTATAGACTAGACTATAGACTAGACTATAGACTAGACTATAGACTAGACTATAGACTAGACTATAGACTAGACTATAGACTAGACTATAGACTAGACTATAGACTAGACTATAGACTAGACTATAGACTAGACTATAGACTGACTATAGACTAGACTGACTAGACTTAGGACTATATACTATACTATATACTAGACTATATACTAGACTAGGACTAGGCTATAGACTAGACTAAGGACTAGACTATAAGACTTAGACTATAGACTAGACTGTATTACTAGACTATATACTAGACTATAGACTAGACCATAGACTAGACTATAGACTAGACTATAGACTAGAGTATGTATTTTACTAAGGACTAGACTATAGACTATGATCAGATCGTACAGAAGGACAACGTCCACTCTTTCTTGTGATAATTTATATCACAATCAATACTCCAATGAGTTGGGTTATAATCAAATACTAAATTAACAGATCTTAGTCCAATAATAATAAATATATAATTAATTCATTTACCATGGAATGATCCATATGCAAATTTTAGTCGTGGCTACTTACTGCTACATGCCACATACTAGTGTGTGCTTGTATTATGTTGCACTCACAATTTACAGTTTTTGTATTTCTTAAATTCCTTGTTCGTGTGTGCGCGAAATTATTCCCAAAAAAAACATTTACAAAAACAACTAAACAAAATGTATTTTTAAACATTGCGGTACTTCCTTAGGTTTTTATTCGATTTGTTTTTTTGACCATTTCCTCTTGCCCTTGCCACTTACATACAGAGGATTATCATCGTCGTCGTTGTCGTCAACAACAACTCCGACATCATGTGGTGCAGCACGTGAGTTGTATTTTGTTTATTGCCCGGTTATCCACACGTTTTGTTTATTGTATCGTTAAACTGTCGTTGCTGCTGTTTCATCGTTACAACATAGTAATTTGTTATCATGTCTTATTTGTTATTGGTCCGCCCATGCATACGTCCGTCGGTCATTTCATTCCCTTGCTCTGTTCAGTGATCTCGGTGAAGATGTTAATGTTTTGTCCTTTTTGCAAGGTAATCTCAATTGTCGCTTATGTTTCACATCATTTTTTTGGCGTCATAATAAATTCTTAAAAAGTAGAAGCGACTGTGGTTATGATTGATTAATCTTATTATGGGTGACCGGTTAACTAAAAGGGGGTATCAAGAAGAAGTATCAAAATGTTAATTAAAATACAATTTAGAGTTGCATTGATATAATTTCAAAATTAACACGAAAAATATATAATATCTGTCATTTTTGTTGTGAACGTTCAACGGCTTTGTCAAAACATTACTCTTGGACAATTCAAAATTTCTAGGAAAATGTGATTGATTACAAAAAAGCTCCCTTTTCTAAAGGATAAACTCCTCTAAGTCCAAATCTAACCTCAGAATATATCCATCATATGAGGTTTTTGAGATATCGATTATTAAAGTTTTAAAAAGCTCCGTATTAGGCCATATTTGAGTCGTTTAAGTAGCGCAATGACATCTTTGTTTTTTTAAATTTGTGATGTCATCTGAAGGCCCAGTCTATAGACTTTACAATAAAGATTTAGGACACGATGCCTCGAAAACCATAGCGGAGCTCAATTCTTTAATAAAGTATAAATACTTTGATCTCTGGATTTCGATCTATTTAAAATTTTGTTGGCCTGTGTAGACGACAACCCTATTAAATAACATTTTAATCCATTTAACTTCCGTTGCCGGAAATAGATTGTTCAGTTAAATGGAAACAAAACTGATTAAAATGTCTTATTTAAAGAATTCATTTTGAAATGAAAACAGTTCATTCAGTTGACGCTCCACGGATTTCAACACTACTAAATATTTACAAAATAAAAGTTTTATGGAATTAATGTCATTGCGTTTTTATTAATCCTTCTAAAATTTATCTACATTTGGTTTACAACATACATATACATATATAATTAATATATTTTGCCAGTTTTTAATTCTTTCATTAAATACATATACAACTGCAAATTTTAATCTCAAACAAAACAAAAACTATATTCTTAATGACTTGCTGATTTACCGCTCAAGCGTTGAGAAGAGAAGGCTGTGCTCAAGGAGATGGGCAACTGGCGATGATTACCCAAACTAATGGATACCAGACGTGGCAAAGTGGTCAAGACAGTGGGTGTTTCAACGGTATAATGGGTATCGGGATTGTTGACGGTGTAATAGGAGTTGGAGGGTACACGTATAGATTCAAAGGTACCCAAACTTTGTTCTTCTGTTGAAAGTTGTGGAACTTGAGCAGTTTGTTGCACTAAATCTAGGGATCTTTGTTGACCGTTATCCAAATCTAAACCACCAAGTTTCAATTCGACTTTAGAGTCCGAGCTGTCTAAACGATAAATGGTTTTCAATTCCGAAAGTGTGGGTTGCTCTACGCGTGCTTCCGCATTTAGGACATAGGTGGTCATAAGTTGTGGATGTTGTTGACTGAGCAGTTGTTGTTGCTGCTGCTGTTGTTGAATAAGCAGTTGTTGCTGCTGCTGTTGTTGTTGATTAAGCAGTTGTTGTTGTTCTTGCTGTTGTTGTTGACTAAGCAGTTGTTGTTGTTGCTGCTGCTGTTGTTGAGCAATCAATTCGCTGCTATGACTTTCTTGGGAGGCCAATTGTTGTTGTTCTCTTAAAAGTTGCAATAATTGCTCACGAGAACTTTGACGATTCATGAGTAATTCACGAGTATTCTGCTGCAATTCAGTTTCCAATTGAGCCGCTTGTTCAGCACTCAAATTATTTTCTCCCGAGGAGACGGCAGTTAGACCATTTCCACCCGCTTCTCCTGATGCTACAGCGGCTGCCTCATTAGTATCTTCATCAGCATTACTGCCATTATCACCGGTGTCTGGCTGCATGGCTGCCTTAATGGCAGCCTCACGATAAGCCTCAAAATGAGCCTGTTTAGCCATTTCAACTTCGGGTGTATCTTGCACTGGCTCGGGAGCACGATTATTATCCATAGGTGGTGTTGGCAAATTAGTGGCCGAAGCTGTAAAACCCTGTCTGCGTCCAGCTTCATATTTCACAGTCTGCAATTTTCCCTCCGAATCTATGTATGAGTAAAATCCTTTGGATGAACCATCTCTAGTTTTATATTCAGCTTTGGCAGAATCATCACTACTATAACCGTATGAATAAAATCCTTTCGAATCCTCTTCTCTGTACTCAGTAGTAGGATTTTCACTTTTCAAAACTATTATCTGATGATTGCGGGAGGCGGCCGCCAATGTAACAAAGGCACACAAGAATATAACTCTCATTTTGTTTAAATTCAATTTAAATTCAATATTTTTTTTATAATTTTTATATTTTCTAATTTGTTTTTATTTTATTCTTCTTCTAAATCACACACGCACTTTTCTAGTCGTTGTAGGTAGTTGAAGCTTTGATCTGCTTCTAATGCTGTTTCTTCGTTGCACTTTTAATTTATAGTCTTGTTATATTTCGCTTTAATTACTTGATATTTTCTTTATGCAAATCTTTGAAGTGTGTCCAGTGGACAGTGCATTTTAGCAGAAACTACTTAAAGATCTTTAAATTTAAAAGTCTTCTTTTTTGACCTCGAAATTTGGCGCCCTAATGCAACTCTAGGTAATCCATACTATTGCCTCTGCGCAAGTGTGGCAAGTGTGTATTGTATAAGTTGTCAGTTTGTAAATTTTCATCATAAAGTTCCAAAATAATAAAAACAAAAACAGTAACAGAATTTTGTAATTTTGTTTTGAGTTTGTGATCATTTGTTCAATTGTATCAGATTTCTTGTTGTTTTTAAGATGTTTTTAGCTAAAAATAAAAAACTTGTTGGTAATATTATTACATTCATATTAGTGTTTAAGAATATGTTTTTGTTTTTTATTTGTCAATTCCCTTTAATTAGACTGTGGAATAAAAATTGCTGAAAATGGGCCAGATTTGCAAAATGTAATTGCTTATGTTACAGTACAACATGTTTTTAAAATATGTTTATAATTAAGCTATATTTAAAGTTAAAACAAAAATTTTAATTCAAGTATCAAAAAGTAGGTTAGAACTGAACTAGAACTGAACTAGAACTGAACTAGAATTGAACTAGAACTGAACTAGAACTGAACTAGAACTGAACTAGAACTGAACTAGAACTGAACTAGAACTGAACTAGAACTGAACTAGAACTGAACTAGAACTGAACTAGAACTGAACTAGAACTGAACTAGAACTGAACTAGAACTGAACTAGAACTGAACTAGAACTGAATTAGAACTGAACTAGAACTGAACTAGAACTGAACTAGAACTGAACTAGAACTGAACTAGAACTGAACTAGAACTGAACTAGAACTGAACTAGAACTGAACTAGAACTGAACTAGAACTGAACTAGAACTGAACTAGAACTGAACTAGAACTGAACTAGAACTGAACTAGAACTGAACTAGAACTGAACTAGAACTGAACTAGAACTGAACTAGAACTGAACTAGAACTGAACTAAACTGAACTAGAACTGAACTAGAACTGAACTAGAACTGAACTAGAACTGAACTAGAACTGAACTAAAACTGAACTAAAACTGAACTAGAACTGATCTAGAACTAACCTAGAACTAGAACTTAACTAGAACTGAACTAGAACTGAACTAGAACTGAACTAGAACTGAACTAGAACTGAACTAGAACTGAACTAGAACTGAACTAGAACTGAACTAGAACTGAACTAGAACTGAACTAGAACTGAACTAGAACTGAACTAGAACTGAACTAGAACTGAACTAGAACTAGAACTGAACTAGAACTGAACTAGAACTGAACTAGAACTGAACTAGAACTGAACTAGAACTGAACTAGAACTGAACTAGAACTGAACCAGAACTGAACCAGAACTGAACTAGAACTGAACTAGAACTGATCTAGAACTGAACTAGAACTGAACTGAACTAGAACTGAACTGAACTGAACTAGAACTGAACTAGAACTAAAACTGAACTAGAACTGAACTAGAACTGAACTAGAACTGAACTAGAACTGAACTAGAACTGAACTAAAACTGAACTAGAACTGAACTAGAACTGAACTAGAACTTAACTAGAACTTAACTAGAACTGAACTAGAACTGAACTAGAACTGAACTAGAACTAAACAAGAACTGAACAAGAACTGAACTAGAACTAAACAAGAAATGAAATAGAACTGAACTAGAACTGAACTGGAACTGAACTAGAACTGAACTAGACCTGAACTAGAACTGAACTAGAACTGAACTAGAACTGAACTAGAACTGAACTAGAACTGAACTAGAACTGAACTAGAACTGAACTAGAACTAAACTAGAACTGAACTAGAACTGAACTAGAACTGAACTAGAACTGAACTAGACCTGAACTAGAACTGAACTAGAACTGAACTAGAACTGAACTAGAACTGAACTAGAACTGAACTAGAACTGAACTAGAACTGAACTAGAACTGAACTAGAACTGAACTAGAACTGAACTAGAACTGAACTAGAACTGAACTAGAACTGAACTAGAACTGAACTAGAACTGAACTAGAACTAAACTAGAACTGAACTAGAACTGAACTAGAACTGAACTAGAACTGAACTATAACTAAACTAGAACTGAACTAGAAATGAACTAGAACTGAACTAGAACTGAACTAGAACTGAACTAGAACTGAACTAGAACTTAACTAGAACTGAACTGATCTAGAACTGAATTAGTACTGAACTAAAAATTAAGTAGAACTGAACTAAATCTGAACTAGAACTGAAGTAGAACTAAACTAGAACTGAACTAAAACTGTAATAGAATTGAACTAGATGTGAAATTCGAACTTATCTCACTCACGTCGGATTTCTCATACACATTTTCTGGAGAAGTTTAAAAAATATGTTCAATCTTGTCAAATAAGCTCCTTGGAAGAGTTTTCTTTGGGAAATTCGAAAGAATTTTCTTATTCAGTATTTTTAATTTTGCATAGCTATTATGTTTTTCTTAAAACCTTTATTATCTCTTATTAAGCATTAATTTTTAAGAAAAATATTCAAACTCAAAAAATCTTCTTATTCTAAATTATGTTAATATTCAAAACTGGTATTCACTCATTCATGGCAGGTTTCCATAAAACTGCGAATTCCATTTCTTTGACTTTACCCAAATCCAACATCCATACTGAACCATTTTTGGCCTTCGATAAAATATCCACCATATTCTCAGCACATATTTCGGCACTTTGTTTTTTGACAAAAGCAAAACGTTGAGCCATGGGACCAGCATATTTTGTTAAAGTTTCCTTGCCACGTATGGACTCTAATAAGGCAGTGTCGGTAAAACCGGGACACATAGTCACTAAACTAACGCCAGTGTGAGCAAAATACAAAGGATTCTGAAATTTTAATTTGTTATTTTTTAAATGTTTTTGTTGCTTTTTTTCCAACCTACTGCTAAAGCTCTGGTAAATGCAGTCAAACCACATTTAGCCGCTGAATATACAGCAAACATGCCACTTGGTTCTAAACCAGCCACCGAAGATATATTCACTATAAAACCACCCCGTCCACCCTTGGATTTATCCATGTAATCTAAGGCAATAAGAGTGCTATGTATGACACCAGTCTGCAACACCAAATAGCAACAAAAAATAGAATAGAATACAAACAGAAAACAATAAATATATACATATATGACACAGAAATTGTGCGATATTAAATGACAACAACTTACTAAATTAATATCAATGGTAAGATCGATATAACGATCATCCATTAAACCGCAACCATTGACAACAACATCTATAGCAGAGTCTAGTTTTGTGGCGGCTAACTTAAAAGTCTCCTCAATACTTTGACGTTTTGTTATATCGATGGGAATATACATTAAACAAGAATCAATATAACGATTTTCGAGGGTTTTAAAAACGTCCGCATTTAGCTGAAGATCACAGATCACCAAATGCTGTAGAGTAAAACGCATGGACGCACCAAAGTAAATATTAAATTCGCAGTCAGCTAATAAGTAGATATTGCACAATATATTATGACACTTACCTTGACTTGCTTTTTTAAAAATGCTTCCAAACATTTTTGCCCTATACCACCAAAACCACCAATGTAAATAATATTTTTACCCTTTAAATCCATTTTTTTGAATTAAATTTGCTTTATAGAGGTTAAATTAGTTTGTTGTTATTGTAGTATTTATTTAAACTTTCGTTAAAATTATTTTAAAATATCGGAGTACTTAACACTTGAATGGTTGTTTAGCAAATGCAGTTTTGATATTATTTTGCAATATTTAGTTTTTTTCTTTGCACAATAGAGAATTTTTAAGCATTTTGGTTGCTATTTTATTAAAACACTTAACAGCTATTAGCTTTTGCATTTGAATTTTTAATACTGGTTTAAAGCTTTTAGAAATTTGATAATATTTGTGCGGTTTGGAGCTTAGTTAGATTTATATTAGCAAATACTGGATAGGGTTTCTGTTTTTTTAATGTTTGAAGTAATTTGTGTGAGTTAATTATTGAATTTTAAAATAAATTGTGTGCCCCGTATGTGTTCAATGATCACTTATATTTCTCCAATTGAGAAAATTATGAAAATCTGTGATCACTCATATTTCCCACCAAAAATCGGTTTTTATATGGAAAACTTTAAATCGGCTGTAGTTTCTTAAATAACGCTCCAATTGAGAAAATATTAAAAATCTGTGATCACTAATATTTTCCACTAAAAATGGATTTTTATATGAACAACTTTAAATTGGCTGTAGTTTCCTAAATAACGCTCCAATTGAGAAAATAGTGAAAATCTGTGATCACTCATTTTTCCCACCACAAATCGTTTTTTATATGGAAGACTTTAAATCGGCTGTAGTTTCTTAAATAACGCTCCAATTGAGAAAATAGTGAAAAGTTGTGATCACTCATAGTTCCCACTAAAAATCGATTTTTATATGGAAAACTTTCAATCGGCTGTAAATCCTTAAATAACGCTTTAATTAAGAAAATAGTGAAAATCTGTGATCACACATTTTTCCCACCAAAAATCGATTTTTATATGGAAAACATTAAATCGGCTGTAGTTTCTTAAATAACGCTCTAATTAAGAAAATAGTGAAAATCTGTGATCACTCTAATTCCCACTAGAAATCGATTTTTATATGGAAAACTTTAAATCGGCTGTAGTTTCTTAAATAACACTCTAATTAAGAAAATAGTGAAAATCTGTGATCACTCTAATTCCCACCAAAAATCGATTTTTATATGGAAAACTTTAAATCGGCTGTAGTTTCTTAAATAACGCCCTAATTGAGAAAATAGTGAAAATCTGTGATCACTCATATTTCCCACCAAAAATCGATTTTTTTTATGGAAAACTTTAAATCGGCTGCAGTTTCTTTAATAACGCTCCAATTGAGAAAATAGTGAAAATCTGTGATCACTCATATTTCCCACCAAAAATCGATTTGTTATGGAAAACTTTAAATCCGCTGTAGTTTCTTAAATAACTCTCCAATTGAGGAAATAGTGAAAATCTGTGATCACTCATATTTCCCACCAAAAATCGAGTTTTATATGAAAAACTTTAAATTGGCTGAGTTTCCTAAATAACGCTCCAATTGAGAAAATAGTGAAAATCTGTGATCACTCATATTTTCCACCAAAAATCAATTTTTAAATGGAAAACTTAAAACCGGCTGTAGTTTCTTAAATAACGCTTCAATAGTGAAAATCTGTGATCACTTATTTTTCGCACCAAAAATCGATTTTTATATGGAAAACTTTAAACGCTCCAATTGAGAAAATAGTGAAAATCTGTGATCACTCATTTTTACCACCAAAAATCGATTTTTATATGAAAAACTTTAAATTGGCTGTAGTTTCTTAAATAACGCTCCAATTGAGAAAATAGTGAAAATCTGTGATCACTCATATTTCCCACCAAAAATCGATTTTTATATGAAAAACTTTAAATCGGCTGTAATTTCTTAAATAACGCTCCAATTGAGAAAATAGTGAAAATCTGTGATCACTCATTTTTCCCACAAAAAATCGATTTTTATATTGAAAACTTTAAATCAGCTGTAGTTTCTTAAATAACGCTTCAATTGAGAAAATAGTGAAAATCTGTGATCACTCAAATTTCCCACCAAAAATCGAGTTTTATATGAAAAACTTTAAATTGGCTGTAGTTTCCTAAATAACGCTCCAATTGAGAAAATAGTGAAAATCTGTGATCACTCATATTTCCCACCAAAAATCGATTTTTATATGAACAACTTTAAATCGGCTGTAGTTTCTTAAATAACGCTCCAATTGAGAAAATGTGAAAATCTGTGATCACTCATTTTTCCCACCAAAAATCGATTTTTATATGGAAAACTTTAAATCGGCTGCAGTTTCTTAAATAACGTTCCAATTGAGAAAATATTAAAAATCTGTAATCACTCATATTTCCCACCAAAAATCGATTTTTTTATGGAAAACTTTAAATCGGCTGTACTTTCTTTAATAACGCTCCAATTAAGAAAATAGTGAAAATCTGTGATCACTAATATCTTCCACTAAAAATGGATTTTTATATGAACAACTTTAAATTGGCTGTAGTTTCCTAAATAACGCTCCAATTGAGAAAATAATGAAAATCTGTGATCACTCATATTTCCCACCAAAAATCGATTTTTATATGAACAACTTTAAATTGGCTGTAGTTTCAAATAACGCTTCAATAGAGAAAATAGTGAAAATCTGTGATCACTTATTTTTCGCACCAAAAATCGATTTTTATATGAAAAACCTGTAGTTTCTTAAATAACGCTCTAATTGAGAAAATAGTGAAAATCTGTGATCACTCATATTTTCCACCAAAAATTTATTTTTATATGGAAAACTTTAAATCGGCTGTAAATCCTTAAATAACGCTCCAATTGAGAAAATAGTGAAAATCTATGATCACTCATTTTTCCCACCAAAAACCTATTTTTATATGGAAAACTTTAAATCGGCTGTAAATCCTTAAATAACGCTCCAATTGAGAAAATAGTGATAATCTGTGATCACTCATATTTCCCACCAAAAATCGATTTTTATATGGAAAACTTTAAATCGGCTGTAGTTTCTTAAATAACGCTCCAATTGAGAAAATATTAAAAATCTGTGATCACTAATATTTTCCACTAAAAATGGATTTTTATATGAACAACTTTAAATTGGCTGTAGTTTCCTAAATAACACTCCAATTGAGAAAATAGTGAAAATCTGTGATCACTCATATTTCCCACCAAAAATCGATTTTTATATGAACAACTTTAAATTGGCTGTAGTTTCCTAAATAACGCTCCAATTGAGAAAATAGTGAAAATCTGTGATCACTAATATTTTCCACTAAAAATGGATTTTTATATGGAAAACTTTAAATCGGCTGTAGTTTCTTAAATAACGCTCCAATTGAGAAAATAGTGAAAACCTGTGATCACTCATATTTCCCACCAAAAATCGATTTTTATATGAAAAACTTTAAATCGGCTGTAGTTTCTTAAATAACGCTCCAATTGAGAAAATTGTGAAAATCTGTGATCACTCATATTTTCCACTAAAAATGGATTTTTATATGAACAACTTTAAATTGGCTGTAGTTTCCTAAATAACACTCCAATTGAGAAAATAGTGAAAATCTGTGATCACTAATATTTTCCACTAAAAATGGATTTTTATATGGAAAACTTTAAATCGGCTGTAGTTTCTTAAATAACGCTGCAATTGAGAAAATAGTGAAAATCTGTGATCACTCATTTTTCCCACCAAAAATCGATTTTTATATGGGAACCTTAAAATCGGCTGTAGTTTCTTAAATAACATTCAATTCAGAAAATAGTGAAAATCTGTGATCACTCATTTTTCCCACAAAAAATCGATTTTTATATGAAAAACTTTAAATCGGCTGTAGTTTCTTGAATAACGCTTCAATTGAGAAAATAGTGAAAATCTGTGATCACTAATTTTTCCCACCAAAAATAGATTTTTATATTGAAAACTTTAAATCAGCTCTAATTTCTTAAATAACGCTCCAATTGAGAAAATAGTGAAAATCTGTCACTGGATCGCTTTTCTTTACTTCACATGTTTTGATAGTGGATATGAACGATTCGTCATAGCGGAATAGTAACACTTTTTCTTATTTTAAAACGAATATTATTTACTTTCTTCTAATTCAGTTCAAATAACATATTTTTAGATAAATTTTGTTTACTTAAGCTACCTATGAGTTTGAAAAAAATGTTATCAGTAGTTTTTTTTTCTAAATTTTATTGTTCTTAAAACTTTCACTTTATTTAGAACAAAGATAATATTTTTTTTAATGTTCTTTGTTTATCAAATGAATTTAAAACGTGTGTTGTATAATGGTGTTTTTTTATTTAACAGCTAACTATAGACTTAATTATTTAATGGATTTACATTATATACGTCCTTAAAAAATGTATAAATTACATTATTAATTACTATTTATCGTTGGTTTCCACATAATGGGCATTTCAATTTCTGACATTTCACCCAAATCCAATAGCCACACTGAACCGAGTTTATTGATCTCTACAGCTTTGACAAGATTTTGAGCACAAGCTTCAGCGGTTTGTCGTTTCATGTTGGCAAATCTTTGTACCATGGGCCCGGCATATTCACGTAATGTTGTCTTTTCTTGCACGGAGTCTAATAGGGCCGTTTCAGTAATGCCCGGGCAAATGGTTATAAAGTTAACTTGGGTATGATGAAAATAAAGGGGGTTCTGAGGAGGATTAGGAAAGAAAATATATTGTGAATTAGAAACAAAAATAAATTTTATTATTAATTTTACCGCCATAGATCTGGT